GGCCAGTCCGCCTCCCCCACCCCCCTTCTTGGTATGAGTTGGTGCCCAGCCATCAGGAGGGTATTTCCTCTGACTTTTTCACTCCCCTCCTTCCCTGCTGCTCCCCGGGAGATTTGCATCATCACTTCCTAAATTATATCTCAGTCCCCATTTGCTTTTAGGAAGCTGTTCACACGTCATACGTTTGTACAAATCCACAGCCCAGAATTCGGGCTTGGAGAGTAAAGTTAGTAGGATTGTTGAGGGTCTCACGTTTATCTAAAACACGTAATATCAGGGAGTCTGTAAAAATTTCCTTGTCCAAACAAAACAAACAACAACAAAACCCCCAAAACAACAACTACAGCCCCCCCCCCAAACAAATAAACAGCCCCCTTCCAACCGAACCAAAACCAGCAACTTCCCAACAGAACCTCAAGCCAGCCTGGCTTGTGGAATGTGAGAGCTGGTTTCCTCATTGGCTTTCAAATTCCTCTTTCCCTATTTAAAAAAAAAAAAAATGTTCGCAGTTCACAGCACAGAGTGTACAATTAATTCCATACTGCCGTAGAGTGGGTTATGTGTCGGGGAGAGAGACAGACAGACAGATATGGGACCCCCTTCCCTCAGGTTAAAGTGTAAGTTGTCCTTGGAACACTTGGGATTTTATAGATTGTCACTTAACAGGTGCTGTCATCATGCCTCATGACTAGTTCTGTCTAAGGAAACTGGAGACTTGAAAAGAGCAACCTTTGTGCTTCAGCCTTTTGCCTTTCTAAAGATTGTATTGGGGCATTTATGGAGGAGATGGCTGTTTCTAGTGAAGATGTCTTGGGAAATGGCTGTTCTGTATGCTAGGAATGGTTAATACAGAAATTAAAGATCTGTTTAAGAGTGAAGACAATGAGTAGAAAGTGGGTTTTAATGTAGATTTCTGTGGAAGTTCTCGAGTGAGCCCTCCTTTTCAAAAAATTCTTACTAGTCAAGGACATTAGTCAAGAATAAGTTGTAATATTGCCAAAAACTTTGAAGATGTACAAGTATTTTAGCTGTAGGGTCTTCATTTTAACTTGATAAAAAAAAAAACACTTATCTTGAACTTTATTATAAAGAATGTTGCAGCAAACAAAACAAAACAAAAAACTACACACCACGATTGACCAGATCCAAAGACTTTACAGCTCAGCAAACTTGTCTATACAGTTAAGAGTTGTCTGAAGTGCTGAAGTGTTTGCATGAGCAGTCCAACTCTCATAGGAATCTTACGAGGGAGGAATCTTATCTATTACTGGATGGGGCAATCCATGCAGGAGATGGATAACTTGCTCCTTCGTGTAGGGAGTGTAGGGTGTGGTGGGTGAGTGCCTCACAGTGCTTAGTGCCATCGCATTTATGACATCACTTTGGAAAAATCTACTGTGTCAAGCCCTAGATTGTGACTTAACTGTGGGACATGCAGCCTGAAGAAAGTAGTTCCTAATAACAGCGGCTGGGATGCTCAGAGTGTGGCAGAGGTCTGCTTCCTGGCAGCATGCTTTTATGTCCTTGGGAGTAATATCTCAAGTGAGAGGAATCCTTGCTTTCATCAGAGCTTAGAAACTGGAGGAGTGGAATAGCTCCTTGCCTTTAGCCAGCAGATTTTGAGTCAGGCTAGACACTTTGGTGGTAGCAGATGGCAGAAGGCTTGACCTAAAGCATCCAAGGTTCCTTTATTGACTCTTTCAGACTGGCCCTATTGTGAACTGTGGTTTGCCCAACAGAGGTAGCGAGCCCAAAGCTAGTAATTCTCTGACGACACATTTTAACACACCTTTTTAAAAGCTTTCCTGAGGCTGATTGTAGACACCTGTGTAGTTTGTATTTCCTGCCGAAGAACCAAATTGTTGTCTTCATGTCATAGCTGGTTTGTAATTATTTTCATCATTGCATGGGCCATAATTACACTATGTTTATCAGGGAAACTTAAAATGTATTCAACAAATGTTTGATAATGGTGGGTGAGAGTCTTGTCACATCCTAGGGATGTGAGGCAAAGAAGTAAATTGGTAGGGCTGACGAGATTGTTCGGGTGCTGTGAAAGAGGCAGCTGCCCAGGTAGGTGGAGGTAGCTGGAAGTGTCCTGGAGAAAGTGACATTCAGCAGGGATCTTAAGAAGGGTAAAAGGTAGGAAGAGTAGAAGGAGCAGGGTTTGAGGGAGACGGAATGGCATAGGTGAAGGCCAGGAATCGAGGGAAAAGCGGAGGAACTGAGTGGCCCATGGCTAGATTGTGAAGAGGAATCAGCTGGGGATGAGGCGGAGGAGGTGGGAAAAGTGGTGCTAACACTCCCCAGCTGTGCTGGGGCCTTTGACTTGTACCTGGAGTGCAGTGGGCAAGTTTGAGCTCAGAGAACTTTGAGCTTGGACAGATGTGCTGACCTTCGATATGAAAGGTCATGGCTGATCTTGAGAGTGGTTAGGTGTGTGGGTGTGATTGTGTGTTTGAATGAACGTGGTGTAAGTGTTTATGGACTGTTGCCAGATCTGTCGATACAGAACTCCTGTCAGGAGTAGTCATCTGGGCTAGTCATGGACAGCAGTGGCATGAGCATGTCTTGGCTGGGAAGAACACAGAAATGCGGATGGACTGAAAGTCATCAGGGAACATCTTTGTCTTTTCTCTTTATGAAAACAAACAAAAAATGTTCCTAAGAAGTGCTGTGCAGCACAGCACTCTGGAAGCTGCAGGTCTTTCAAATCAGCAAGCCAGGTCCACACCCAGGCATCTGCAGAGTAGTTCTGGCACCATGGGAGTAAAGGGAGTTCCTTTAGAATTGCTGCTTTCTCCAGTTTGCTGCTGAGCATTGTCTAGTCAGGACAGCAATCACAAGGGCTTGGCAAATCGGAGAGCTTACAGCTCTTTCTTGTGGGTGCACAATAGGAAAGAGAGTGCCAGGAGGAGCACACAGTTGAAATTCGGCAGTGCTTAGAACAGGCAGTTTCCAGCTCTGTCTCTGGGTTTATGTTGTGTCATTGGGATGGGCAATTGGGGTAATTGATAGAGACTGTCTTCTCACTGGGAAACTTGCTACCTTAGAGATTGTTGAAGACGGCTGTTTATAGAACTTGAAAGTTCTTTACATAGTAGATACTGTGCCTTTTAGGATTAAAACAGTTTGTTCCCTGTAACTTGGGCTTAAAAGTTTTAGCGAAATATGAAACATTGTCTTGGTTCATTATAGACATTTTTGTAATCAGTTAAAAAAGCACTTACTGATAATTGCCATATTTGAAATAAAATTGTCAGTACATTTCTTTAATGTAAATACACTTGATTTCTTCCCTCCTTTTCTTCTCCTCTTTCTCTTTTCAGACGGGTTTTATTATGTAGTTCAGGCTAGTTAGGAACTCAATGTAGCTTAGGCTGCTCTAGACATCACTCTCTAGGTGCTGTGATTACAGGTGTTTACCAACTACTTTCAAACTAGATACCAGTAGTATTAATTTAATGCATTTTAAATTGTTCCTATGCTTCAAATTTACTGAGATACAATTTTTTTCATCAACATTTTAGAAAGTTATTGAACAGAAGATAGGTGTGCTGGCTCATGCCTTTAATCCCAGGACTTGGGAGGTGAGGTAGGCAGTTCTCTATAAGTTCAAGGCCAGCCTGCTCTACATAGTGAGTTAAAGGCCAGCCAGAGCTTC